TTTCTTCCATCTTATCTTTTAAGACTCTACTGAAGTTATCAGTAACTTCTCTATAAAACTTGCCCTCTTTTCTTTCCTTACTCTATCCTATTGTCTATCTTACTATAACCTGTTTAGAGCCCTGTGAGTAATTCTATCTCATCTCATTTATAACAAGTCTTACTCCCCTACCTGACAATCGTCTCCCTGAGGAGACCTTGGTGGGAGTCATCTTTGTAACCCAGCACCTAGCAAAGGCATTCTTAGAGGGTGTAGTCAATTTTGCTGGTTGAGTGAAAGCAAAATCTGAAGCACAAGGATTAAGGAAGTAATGCCTTTGTTTTTCTAAATTAAATATAGTTTGAGTACTTAATAATGAATAAAAGCAGAAAATTGGTAGATGAAAATAACCTCTCCTAAAATATTCCCAATTTGCATATTGCCAAGTTATATTTAGTTGGTACAAGGTTCTGTTAAAAATACTAATGTAGTCTTAGTAGAATACTAGATTTATGGTGATCCAAAGTGCATGTGTATATTACCATATTTACATAAAGCATTTTTAAAGAGAGATTTTTGTTATAGGGTGTGTGCGCTCGCCAGAGAGACAGAGAAAAAGAGAGAGACAGAAAGAGAGAAATCCTCCCTTGCCTGGGGTGATGGCCACACCGCAATCCCTTTTCCTCCATTCTCCTTTCTGGATCTTGGGCACACACACACACGTAACTGGTGTGAGTTTTAAGCCGCTGGGTCTGGGACTTGAACTGCGGTCAACCACATGGGAGTCCAGTGACATAGCCATTATGCCATCTGCTGGTCCCATAAAGCATTTCTTAAAAGTAAATTTTAGGTAAATATGTTTCCATTGACTTTCCTTTTACATGTAAGAAAAACAGAAAACAGTCTTGCTCTACATGTAGTAAAATCATCTTAAAATTTACCAATATGTACAAAGTGACAATGAGTTCCTGATGAAAATAGTCATAATAACAGATCTTTAATTCAAAAATTGGGATATCTAAAGTCATCTATCCAGCTGTCATTTTAATGTTTAGCACAAAAGTAAAAAAATTAAATACACAAACTTTAAAATTAAGGAAACAAAGATAAAATTTAATGAAGCAGAGTGGGGGAAAGAAGATGGCCAACTAGAAACATTCAGTGTATCTCCTCTCCATGGAGAAGGATCAAAACAAAACAGTCCCACTCCAATTAGAGGAGTGCAGAGAGAACACGAATACAAGGAAGTAATGAGAAACCCCGGAGGCATGGGGACTTAGGATAGAGATGTGGAATGAGAGATGAAACATGGGCCAGGGTAGAACCCAAGCCTAGAGCTCCCCGTTGGAAGTGGAAAGTAAAAGGAATATCCCCAGCAGCCTTCTTTTCCTTTTGACACCTATGGTCCTGGCTATAGGAGAGCCACACAGTCATCACAGATGACTCCATTGTAAGGAGTTGCCTGAAGTCCAGGTAGACATATGCTGGGCCTCCCTTCCCTTCCGAGGACCCAAACTCTGATGACAGGGTGCCATTTGGGGAGCATTGCCACTGATAAAGTGCATTTTTCCTTGAGGATTAGTAGACCCTGCACCACCACGTCGCTAGGCCCTGCTGTCATCCCACCTCTCCTAAGCAAAAGGCAGCAGAGTCAGATCAACCTCTGAGCCCAGTGAGGAACGGTGACCAGCCCCTTGGCCCATACAGCACCCTGCACTCTAGGGAACAAGAGGCGTACCACAGTGGGGAGGACACCTCCAGGGCATGGGCAATGGATATGATAGATACTGAAGATACTGGCCTGGGTACCCCTGCTGCCACCCACAGTGACTCCACTCTCCAGACTAGTGGGACACTTAAAAGCTGCACATGCCTCACACAGAGCCTGAAGACATTAGTCTAAGTGCTATAACTGCCACTGACTGGGACATCGCTCCCTCAACAATGGAATCTTTATGCCAGTCACATTCTTGAGAACCTGAGCTCACCAGTACTGACACTTGGCACCTGCTACAACTATAGCCCATGGAGACACCACCTTCTTGACTGGTAGGACCACCCCCCTAACCCATGTGCTGCATACCTCCCAGTCAGGATCAGAAGACCCAAGTACACACTGCTAGCAGCCCCTCCTGCCAACAAAGTCATATCACTGTATTCACAAACACTTGCAGTCTTGACCACAAAGGCACACACAGACATTGCTGACACGGACATGGTGGTAAACACATCGGCTGTTTATAACTTCTTATAATTTCTCATTCATAGATCTGTCACTTCCAGTATACTGCAAACCTGAGAGCATAAATCCTGTTCAGTTTATCCAGTCCATAAGTGACTAGCAAAGTATCTGACAGTCATTCAATGAGTGTTTGTTCAATGAATCATTATGTGGATGATCTAGTCATTAAACTAAACTCAACTAGGGAAGGGACAGGCTTTAGAGGACATCTTAATTTGGTCCCTTCATAATGCACGTGAGAACCTGAGACATTGAGAGATTGTTGCTCATGATCATGTGGTGACTATATGGCAAAACCAAGAGAATCTCAGATTCCTGAATTCTAAACCATTGTTCCTTTCAACCAGGAGAATAAAATAAGAACTAAAAAGTATGGTAGAATTAAGCTGTTCTCTAGTAACAATTCTTCCAAAAGTTTTGTGTGTGTTCATAGCAGTAGGTAACTCAGATCTAGCTCAGGATCCCTCCATTTGTCCATGGTGCTGCTCGAAGTGATGCAAGACCGTGTGAGCAGGATCAAGTTAAGTCAGTGCACAGTTGGACCTACTTACCATCTCCTAGGGCGAGAACTTAATTCAACATATACCACTACATTTAACTATACTTCGTATTATTCCCAAATATTAAGTTAAAACATGTTTGAGAAATATATTGGGTTGTTGGAAAAGTTGTGACACATTTTTCCTGTTTTTCTATGCAGG